AAAAAGAAATAAAATAAGATATCTTATTTGAAATTTGAATTGTAATTGATCACAAGGTGAATATGAGTCACCAATGTGATATGATAGCTAAAAAGGAAAAGCTTAGACTTTGCCAAGTAAAGTAATGTCCAAATAATGGGAAGTTATAGTTTGCTATGATTTGAGAGTAGCATTAAGTTTTCCTTCATTGCACATACTTAGTAAATGATTGGACAACCATTTATTTTTGATGCTTTAATTTAAATCCCTACACTGAGCAGACCTGATGACCTAACTCTTCCTTTTCCATTTTATGATTCTAAGAAAAATAAAAATGAGGTGTTTTAGTTCTATTTGGAATTAATTAAAGAAATAGACCAGACATTTGTTGTAATGCTGATTGTCTGACATCAACAGGAAAAGGCAATTGCTGGAATTTACAAAACAATGAGATAAGTTGAATATAAAATTGATAGCCTTTAAAACTATGGAAACACAGTTTGTACTAATGTCTTAAGGGAATGCAAAGGGGAGAAGAGGAAAACAAATGGAGAAGCCTGTCTTTTACTTTCATCTACATAATTGATTTATTTTTCTTTTTTGATTATAAATAAAAGCATGTTGCTCACCAGAAAAGCTTCAAGACTTGGTGTGGGAAGGAAAGGTTCATTGGAACAATCAAAAGAAAAAACAAACAAAAAGGGATACTCCAGAGGTATTGCAATATATGCTTGAAAAGAAGGGGAGAAGGTATCTGTATCTGCAAACTCTATTAAAAAGTGAGCTGGTTGCTTTTGAAATGAGAATGGAAGAAAGGTTTGTAAAGATGAAAGAGGAAATAAAAGAAGTTACCAAAAGTTGAAGAATGTATTTATTTAACTTCTTCTGCAAGTTGCAGAATAGGTTAAATAAATTAATGACGAAAGTGGACATTTTTAGAAGGTAAAATGGAAATAATAAATAGAGAGCTGAAAAAGGACTTAGACAATCTGGCATTACTAGAATTGAGAGGAAAAGAATTTTGCTTGAGGCTTAGAGCAATTCCAAGTATCCTGGAGAAGATACAGAGAAAAGGTGGTTCAATCTTTAAAAAACTTTATGGACTGAAGATGATATGGAGGTAAAAATTGACAAAGTGTATAGAATTAACATACAATTTTTGAAATAAAGAAATGTACCCAGGGTAGAGGTGGGTTCATACCAGTTAGGACCAGTTCGGCCAAGTAGGTAGTAACTTGGTCTACCATGCCCACGAACTGGTGGTGCTGTAGGTGCCGCCATCTTGGTTTTTTGCTTCTGTGCATGCGCAGAAACATTTTTTTACTACTGTGCATACACGCATAGCGTGCATCAAGCACAAAGTATACGCGGACCCAAAGTGCATCCCTGAACAAATTGGTAGTAGCAGAAGCCGGAACACACCCCTGATCCAGGGATAATGCTGAGCACTTTTAGCAGGATGAAGACTTGAGGCCAAGTGTTGCAGCAGCATTTTACTACCAGATTGAAGACTAATAATGCCTATTGTACTTAAAGAAATCCTAATTTGAATACTGCACAAATGAAAATAGTTTTTTTTTAAACTAACAAAACTGAAACAGAAAAAAAGCTATCATTTCAATGGAATAAATTAGAAGGAGTGATCTTCACTTTTAAATAATAGAGGTTAAGTTGAATTCTGTTCAAAAAAGCAAGCAAATTTCTAGAAAAAAATAATGGAGAGTTGGAAGAAATGCAAATGGATAGAAATATTAATGGGAAAAGTAAAGGATTTTGGTGCCTTAGCTGATTTAAAATTAACAAAAAAGATAAATATGTCAATAAAAAATATAAAAATGGAAAACTAAATGAAACTGTTGGAAATAAATTGGTTTTAAGAGAAAGAAGTAAAATATCTAGGTATTACTATGACTAATATAAATTGTATGCTATTTCAGAAGAATTAAATTAAAACAGGGGATGAAATTAGAAAAGACATGTTAAAATGAGAGAAAAACCAAATTATTATTGCTGGGAAGAATCTCTGTTATAAAAATGAATGTCCTGCATAAATTGATGTTTTTGTTTCAAACAATACCTATTTTAACAACTGATGAACCATTTATGTGATGGCAGAAAGATATATCTAGTTTGTATGGCAGGAAAAGAAGGCAAGATATAAGGTCTTCAAGATGCAAAGGGACAAGGGGGATTAGGATTACCTGCTTTAAAACTGTAATATCTGTACCCAGATATTTGGGTTGGATAAAAGAGTAGGTATTGCTGAGAAATAAAAGAATTTTAAAAGTGTACAATTTTAGAAGTGTACAATCTGAGGTTTGGATGGCATGTTTTTAATGGTATAATTAAGCTATGGCTAATTATATTTTAAAAATCACTCTGTTAGACATGCCATATTGATAATATGGAATAGATATAAATCTAGACTGTACCCAAAAATTACCTTTAAGGGTTTCAGCACAAGAAGCATTTTATAGGAAAATAACAGCAGGTAAAGAGAATTTGTTAACTATTGACAATGTTAGATCATGGAGAATATAAGATGAAGTCAAAAGAACAATTCACTGAAGAGCAACTTATTTTTCAGAGATTTTTGTTCTATGACAAAAATTCAAGGTAAATTACAGGAATTTTGGAAATGAACAACAAAAGACAAAATTTCAAGTTGAATTATATGTAGATGATGAACATGTAATCGCCAAAATGAGCAAACTCTTGCTGAAGTTTGAAATGGAGGACAAACAAGTGAAAGAAGGTATGACAAAATGAGCTAACCATATTAGACACAATGTATTGTTGGGAAAGTGAGAAAATGTGTTTGAAAGGACTGAAATTCACATTATTGTAATAATGAAAAAGAATATTTCTATAAAATGATGTACTATTGATATATGACTCCATAAAAATTAGCCAGACTATATAAGGGTATTTCAAATTTATATTGGAAATATGGGTTATTTTATCATGCCTAATACACTTGTTAAAAAGCCAGATAATTTTGAGCTTAAATACATACACTGTTAATTTTTTTTTTAAAGATTAAGATTTAACTGAAACCAGAACTTTTCTTGTTGGGATTAATGAACAGACAATTAGAAAAGAGCCATGGAAGACTATTTTTATATATTATGTCTGCTACAAGACTACCATATGCACAAAAATGGAAAGACTTTGATATATCATATTCACAATGGAAGAATGCTTGGCAACAATGATGGAACTAACAAAGAGGCAAACTTAACTTGTTTGCTTAGAGAAAAACTAACTATTTTATCAGTGTCTGTAAATCTCTTATAGACTTTTTGCTGAAAAGGGGGAAAAGATAAACGTGATTTATGGCTTGGATGATTAGAAAGTTGTCTATTTCCCATTATCACATTATTGGGAAAAATACAAAATGCTCCTCATAATCAAATCAATCTTTGCAAGAGTTCTTCCTTTTCCAACTTTGTTCATACTACTAATATCAAGAAGCAACTTTTCAGAATCATTTATTTCTTCTTTTCCAAATATGGTTTTATTAATTTGGTTTAAATATAATGAATTATATTTTTATATTTTAATTATTTATATATAATTATATTTCCTTATACATACACCAGCAAACAATAGCACATAAAGGGAAAGTGTTTAAGTGCAGATTATTTAAAGACTGTAACAGAAGGCAGATGTTCAGATATCAACACCATCTCTCTAATGGTTTATAATCTCCAGTTTTATTATCTGATCCCCCCAAATACACATCCTTAGTTTTTCCAAATCTATTTAGAGAATAAACAAACCACTCCTAAGCCACTATTTTTGTTCGTTAAAAAGAATGAGGTAAAATACTGAAACTAATGAGACAGTTATTTTTGTTTTTGAAAAATGCTTACAGAGATATCAAGTGCCAATATACACAGAGCTGAACTCTGTATATAGTTTCTGAGATCATGAATTTTAAAGCCTGTTGTGGGATTGCAGCATTCTGAAATTAGGAGTATGTTGTAGAGCTTTTTTGATATGGAATAAAAGAAGTGGGTGGCTTCTTGTCTCACATTCTTCTCTAAGATTTGAAATTTTTAACTTCTCCATAAAGTTCTTCATACCCAGCTGTTTTAAACATACATATTTTAGTAGCTAATGGGCAGGTTCAGCTACAGCTCTTAACTGTCCATTTCTCCCACTCTGCCTCCCCACCTCTCATTATTTCGAATAAGGCTTAAGAGCCTTCTAGTAAAAGCTGCTATCACTAGATTTTGCTTTTCCTGAAAGATGAGTTTTCAAAAGTGCCTAGTTCTCTTACAAATCTTGCTGTGCTGGAATTCTGGCTATTCCAACCTTCTTAATAATGTTCTGGGACTCTAACCTGCATGAAGTTTTTGCTTGTGGTAGCTATGGAGAACTGGCAAGGGTAGATTTTCCTAGCCTGCTCTCCTAACATTTGACAGTGGTCCATGCTATAAAAGGAATATTGAGCTACATGAGGGGAGAAAAAACTTGTTTTGAAAGACAGAGAAACCATCTCTATCACAGAATTAATAGGCAACTTATGTTGGGCTTCATATCATTCCTCCTTTGCTTTGCTTTCCTTCTGCTAACAATATGTCCGAAATGATTTTATGCATTAATGTTCAAGCAGCCAATTTCTACTTAGGAGCCCATTTGAGAGCATATAAAGTAGGAAAAATGCATGGTAGAAACCCTGGTTAGAGAGCTAAGAATTCATTTTAAACTACTAACTCTGGGTACCAATATCAAGGGAAAGATAAAATGACAGAGGGTATGAATTTGACTTTAGTGGTGACCTTTGCCTCCTACCTACCTGCCACCACAGATGGTATTTTAGCTAAAACACAACCCTATCCCGAGGAGCCAAAGGGCAGTAGCTTGGCAAGTTTGTTCTGCTGTTTTGGGCTCTGGAAGTAGAGTACAGCAATGGGTGTGTGCAGACATAGACAGAAGGCTGTATATCCAGTCTAGCAGAGGGCGTGCCTGCTCAATGATTCACAGGAGAGCAGAGTGTGGAGAAAGAGCAGCTGTCAGCAGAGGACCGTATGGCAAGGAGGGCTCCCTGAGATTCTACACTCCACCGAGACTGTTTTGCTGCTGATTGCTGTTTTTGCCTTGCTTTGTTTTTTAAAGTTTCAAAGGATAGGTGACATTCATCTTGGCACCACCATCTGCAACCATGCTTCACTCTCCACTGAAAACCGCTCTGGCATATGAGTGCTTCCAAGATCAGGCCAATTCAACTTTAGCTTTGCCTTCAGATCACAAGTTAAAAACAAGAGGGACAGGAAAACAAAGGGTCCAGGAACAGGTGTTGATGACCGTCAAGCGGCAGAAGCAAAAGTCCTCCCTTTCATCAGCATCAAATGCGGCAGGTCACTCCAACCGAGGTAAATATCTACCGCTACTATGAATTACAAGGGATGCTGGCTGGGGTATGATAACTTTGGCTAACATGGTCACTCTCCGTAGAATGCCACTGCATATTTTAGGATAATTGGAATTCACTCAAGCACTTTATGTAGTTGCTTTTCGTTCTGCCTGCAGAATTGTGTGATGAAATTGGAGGAATGTCTTGCACTGTTTGGTAGGATGAGCGTACACATAAGAGTTTTGAGTCCTTGACTTTCTGCTTTGCAATTTAATGTTTGTGATGTTGCAGAAGCTCCAAAGCAGCTCCAGTTAAATTTATTAAGGCTGAAGGTTTCAATCTGGACTGCACAAGGTGATTCTGAGTGCAGATGCTTCTGTTTGAAATAGAAAGTTGGGAGTACCAAAATCTGCTTAGCTTTATCAATATCAAGCTTCTGTGATACTATTGTTCTTTGGCTGGAATGAAACCAACAGAGTAATTACAGGGACAGTTGGATTGATTAAGCTTTTCTAGATCTCACCAACTTCAACAAAAGAATAAAGCATTTCCAAGTTTAACATTCTCCATTAAAGTTAATAAAAATGTAATGCATAATTTTATTTCAATATTAGGTTTTGAGACTGATTGTGATTTCAATTGGACTTTGTTTATGTTTACATGGGGAAAAAGTATGTGTATACAGAAAAGTTGTATAAATTGCACATCTATGGATGTATTGCTGAGAGTCAGATTAAATGATTCTGATGTTGTTAATTCTTTGGACCACCCTCTAAATACATTTTAACATTCCATTGATGTAGGAATTTTATATCTTATGTTTTGTGTCTATTATCATGAAACACAATCTGTAAAACCACAGGGGGAAAGCTTTATTGCCCAGAAAACACACAATTAATAATAGTCTGCACTGTTTTGTGTGTATGTGTGCCTCTTTCTAATTATAGCCCAAACCTGAAAACCTGGTCTTTGCTTCCCAGACTCCTGACAGTTATGCTTAGACTTGGAAATGTAAAGTCTAATTCTGGTGCACATTAAAACATTGTCTCTGTAATTTGAAGCTGTGAAGTTTCATGGTTTCAGGCTTTTTTTAAAAAAAATATGCATTTAAAATATAAATTTTAAAATAATGTTTAAAATATGTATTTATGGCAGTTCATTGTCCTGGTTCAAATATATATTTATAAGGTAATATAGATTTTCACCACTCAAGTTGTGAAGAGCTTATGCTTAAGTCTTTTCACGCTGCTGATTACAAACACAAAATTATAATAAGCAATAGAGTTAATTGAAATCCTAGCAAAAGGCAGCCTGCTTAATGTTAGCATAAAAGATTGCTAGTGATCCTCAGGGAAAGCCAATAAGATACTATTTTCTACAACACAGGACTGTTAACTGAATAAAATAAGGATTGGTAACATTTGTCTGAATGTGGAATTGGCTACCTTCTCAGACTTGAAAGTTTTTTGCCTGCCAGAGTAGTCACCTTGGGAATTTTTTTTTTTTTTTTTGGAAGGAAGGAAAACTAAGAATCTATGCCTTTTAAGGCTTGAAGATGATTGGTCATCTTGTTACATAATTTTCAGGATTTTCAAAACACTTTAGCCATTCTCTTTGAAAGACAATTTAACCTTTATTCAAGTCATTTTCCAGATGGAGAGCTCTGATTTTAAATCTTATTTGTTTCCAATCTCTCAATACCGCTACTCTGAATTTGGTACAAGGTGTGCTGGATCTTCTGCAACTATAGCTTCAAATAATGCTACCTCAGAATAGTATATTCCACTCAATAGTGAATTCCCTGAAATATAAAACAAGGAATTTCTGACTAAAGAAAGTCTATGGTAGGCCTTGAGTTATGTGTGGTTGTTTTAATAAACTGGATCATAGTATTTAGAATATATTTTTTGTTGTTCAAGAGCCAATTCTGTTGATTTAGAGAACAGACCTTTTTTCAATTTCAATATCTTTGCTGAAGCAGAAATAACTTCTGAAGAAAATTTAGTTGCTAAATAGCATAAAAATATGGGGAAGTAGCAAGTCAGCAAGACATGGATGAGGAATGGAGTTTCTTGAATTGATTTGGTTTTTCATTTCATAGATGCTACTTTTGCCTGTGAACTCTTTATTTTGGCTAAAAAAAAATCCAGTAGAAATATCATTCTGCTCTTAGTAGTTGTTCTACATTCAGCGAAACTTCCCAGAACTTTTTATTGGGAATGTGACAGTTTCATATCACCATTCATCCAAAAACATATTAATCCCAAACTGAAGAAAAATGTGATTCATTCTGGTTATGAATATCAAACTTTTATTATTTGCTTATTCTGGATGAGCAACAGGGAAGGATTGCAGACACCATCAAATATCAGGTGTTGTCAGCCTTGGCTTTGGGTGGCCGGATTATCTCTGAGTTTACCTCTTGATGTAATATGGTGTCAGATAGCAAAATTACACACAACACAGATTCTTTCTTCTTCTCCCCCTCCTCACTCTCTTGCAAATGAGTAATAGGCTTTGAAAGCTAAAATCAGAGGGAAGGCTCCTTAACCTAAAACAATCCTTTGGTTACTCCACTGAAATTGTGAAAATCACTTCCCCAGTGTCTTTTCTCCCTGGCCTGATAAGTTAAAAGAGGGGATCCATGCTGCAAAAATCGAAGAGCATTTGCCAGCAAAACAGTTTCTTCTTTCCCTCTTGCCTGAAGGAG